AAAAATTTTTTTAAAAAAAAAAAAAAAAAAAAAAAAAAAAGAATGCAAATATTAAAACAGATATCCATTTTCTTTCTTTCTTTCTTTTTGATTTGGACAAAAGAGTATAGATTTCTCATATAATTTATAACATGAAAATTATAAAAGGAAATTTATGTTTTATAATTTTAATTTATATTATTATTTTAAATGTTGTTTATTAATTATACATTTTTTATTATAATAGCAATGACTAGAAACAATTACATTATTTATAATTTACATTATTATCATCATCATTATGTTTATAATTTATTTATATATTTATATTTATAAATAAATAAATATTATATAATAAAACTATTATTTATTAATTATACATTTTATTATACCAAATTAATTAGAAACTATAATTGAACAATAATTTATATCATTATTATTTTACATTAATTAGATAATATTAGCATGACTTATTAAATATATTATAACAAAAACTATTTGAAAATTACTATTTTATTATAAAAGATTAATGTAATTAATATAACTTTTTCAATATCAACAAGTACAGATACTTTTTATATCTTGCCAAGAAAATTGTTCAAATGCAATTAAATGGACAGTTTTGCCTAATTGTGCTATATAAACTGCTGTATATTTATTCTCAGCATCATATTGTTACCTTAGCAACATGCTAATGGAAACTAAAATGATTTCCTATGTAGGCAGCAGACATCACGACAGCCTACTAGGTTTTGTAACAGAAACATTATTTATAAGAACAGATAGACAGGAAAGGAAGACAGACAGACAGACAGACAGATATACAGAAGAAATCAATTTACCTTTTTTGTCTCCTACATGTACAATGGTGCTGCTGTAGCTGCACTGGCTGGTGATGGACAGCACGCTTTCAGGTTTACTGGGCAGCGCGAGTGGAGTCAGAGACGGACTCACTACACCAGAGCCTGGAGGCTTCTTAGACTCATCTAATGATGAGAGACCTGGTTGGTTCTTTAGATGGCCCGCCTCTGAACACAGAGAAAATGCAGAACAAACAGGTTTCAGAACTGATGTATTTAAATGGATTAACAATCAAGATGGCCTGACAAGCAAATACAACATTATATATTCATTTATATTAGATTTTCATGTAAATGTGTTTTTATGCTTTGCAAACTTTAACATTTGGTTTTGTGTGATGGACTGAACACAGCAAAACTGCAAATTCTGCCGATTTAAATATGCTACCAGAGCAATTTTATCTGGCTGGTTAACCAAAAGAAGTTTTGTTGAAATTGTTGTCGACGATACATTCAAAACCAGTTGAAAATTATGCTGTTGTTTTCCAGCAAAAGTGTGTTTATGAATTAACAACAGTCATGGAGTAACATTATTGCAGTACAAAATTCAGATATTATTGCAAAATTAAAAAATATAATATAGGTAATTAAAATGGATTAAATAAAAATAAAATCAATTAATATTTAAAATAAAAATGTAAATGTATTTATTCATTTCTTGGTGAAATATTCTTAATGGTAAGTCTGTTTTAAAAAAGTTTTATATGTATTGTTTTGTTAAAGTTTTTCTCTAGAGAAATTGAATGGGATTTTTTTTATTTGGAAAACCCCCTCAATGAAAAATAATCTTGGAAACTGGATTTTTTCCCAGTACCTTCAGACACTTGCATGGAGCTCTCAACACCTCTCTGCTTGTCTTCGTCTGAGTTTGAGGATGTTGTGTTTGAGGAGGATTGGCACTTTCTCTTCATTGTAATGGGCACGTTACAGCTCTCCAAATACCTGACGGAGAGAGAAAGACGTCAGTGGAAATGAGGTTTACAAATGACTAACCAGGCTGAATGTAACACAAAAGCCCATCTAATCTGCTTTGTTTTGTATTTATTACATTGTTTTCTACTATTATGTCCCTATAATCATTTGATTATTGTGGTTTAAGTGTACAACACACGTCAAAATCCTATTACTTTTGCTCTAATCTCTTTGAAATCTGTCATTGAAAATATTGCCAACGAAAATCTAAGTATGTTTGCAGTAAATATTTGCAAACAAAATATTAGCAAATAATTGTAAACTTTATGAGGGATTAAAAAAAAAAAAACAGTTAAATGCATTACAACTAAGCATGATGCAATTTTGTATCTTCCATTGATTTAGGCTTTAGGCTAAACATGTAGAACGATTATCCTGCTGAGAAAGCGTGCTAATGAGACTTCACATCCTGCGGAACCTAATGTTCTCTACAGACTCACGAAAACAAGTTAATTCTCCTTCATAGCACGCTTAATTCAGTTTCTCATACTCTCTTTGCGTCACAGGATCAATAAGTGCATTACATTTGGTGAGTCGAGACAGTCTCTGTCCATGCACCATCAGTTTTCACCATGATGTGACTTTAAGTCTTTGTACCTGATTACGCTGTCCAGGCAACTAATCTGCTGATAGGAGTAGACGGTCTGGTCTTTGAAGGCCAGCTCCTCTTGCACTGCAACATGCTGCTCCTCAGGAGACCCTCTCCAGTTCACGGGATCTTTGGCTCGAACCACTGGACTTTTCTGTAGAGACTCTGCAGAGGAAAAAAAAGGCCTTCAGAAGGGCTGCAAGATTAGTTAAATTAAAATCTAAATTGTCTAGTGGCCTAGTGTGATTATTACCGGCTAGAATTGAATTAAACAAATTTATATTCAAAATATATTATATATACAAAATAATAAATACAAAAATATACTGGGATTGTAACATGGGGGGAAAAAAAATCAGAGATCTATCTAATATGCCGATTTGATGACCAACATTTCTTCTTCTTATTGATTTATTATGTTGCGTAATACTTTTGTGATACTTTTTTTTACTTTTTAGGATTCTTTGATGAATAGAAAGTTCAAAAGAAAAGCATTTATTTGAAATATAAATCTTTTGTAACATTATAAACATCTTTACTGTCACTTTTGTATCAATTTAATGAATCATTGCAGTATAAAATTTCTTTAAAAAAATACACACAAATATCAAATTTGAAAATCTTAATAAGCCCAAACTTTTGAACAGTAGTGTATTTAAACAATTTAAATAAACAATATAGAAAATCTATATTATATTATATTATATTAAAATTATTAACATGCTGCATTTGCGAATGGATGTTGGATGTTTTTCACTCATTTTTGGATCAACTGAAAATTTGATTCTTTTACAGCAGAGGAAACAGTGTAAAGGGTTATTCAATGAGATTTGATGCATTTTTGCTCCTTTATAAGCAATAACCACAAATGTTTCAATATCACAGCTCAAATCACAACTGCAATATTTGTTAATATAATCCCTCTCCATATCATGGAGCCCTAGTCTTCAGACACAGATGTGAGTTACACACAGAAGCACAGACTCTGATGACAGATGAGAGTGCACAGATGGTGGAGGATATTGGTACATACTAGTAGGGCTCTTCTTGGACTGCTGCTCCAGGTTTTTCTGCATGTGAACTCCTTTGCATATCTCCTGAAAGCTCCTCTGAGAAAACACACACATACAAGGACAAATAAACTCACCACAGCCTCTTTAAGTTGTCAATGCATGAATAAAAAAAGAGACCATGAAGCATTTGACTTGCAAAAAAAACAAACAAACAAAAAACCCACTGAACTAGAATTCATCATGTGACTCACTGGTTTGGCTATGCTGCCATCCTCTTCCTCTTGTCGCAGGCGCGTTCCGTTGCCGTTGCTTTCACTAGACGATGCCACACTCAGCAGGTGATCATTACTGCCCAGACTCCCATAGCCGCTTGAACCGTTGTTGTGCACAGGCTACAACACACAAAAACACGTTTTTACCATTTCTCTCACCCTAAAGGATGAAATACACAACACCAAGAGATTTCAAAACACCAGGCATCACAAACTTGTCAATTTTGTAAATGGTTACTGAGAAAAAACTGGGCATCATACACTAAACTACAGTCTGTCTGTTACACAGTCTATTACATGAATCTCTGACATCATAATGCCCTTTTCATGTAAATTCAGTTCCATTAATCTGGTTCTTTCCCCTGTGAATGAGTTTCCGCACCTGCAGCAGGAGTCTGTGAATTTGCTCCGTGATCTCTTGGATGTCTGAGTCTATAGATTTTCCCTCAGCTGTGGCCGGAGCTGCAAACACATCTTCATTCACTGGACCCCTGGTAGAATGGACAAAATTACAGTTACACTACTATTCAAAAGATTGTTTCCCGAAAGAAGCCTCTCATGTGCACCAAGGCTGCATGTATTTGATACAGTAATATTTTGAAATATTATTACAATTTGAAATAATGTTCTATTTGAATGTAATTTATTCCTGTGATGCAAAGTTGAATTTTCAGCATCATTACTCCAGCCTTCAGTGTCACATGATCCTCCAGAAACCATATTAATATGCTTATTTGCTGCACAAGAAACATTTCTTATTATTATCAACAAAAGTTGGAAACAGTTGTGCTGCTTAATATTTTTGTGGAAGCTGTGATAAATTTTTTTAGGATTCTTTGATGAATAGAAAGTTCAACAGAACAGCACTTAAATATCTTCACTGTCATTTTTAATCAATTTAAATAGTTAATTTCTTGTAAAAAAAACTAAAAAAAACTTCAGCAATTACGTTTCTTAACAAATATCAAGCAGATATATTCTCTTATTCATCTTATGCACTCACATGCGAACTTTGTGTCTGCCGATGATGAAGGAAACTTTGCGGCTCCAGGGACTGACAAAGCTGGACCAGCTGGTGTCTATGGTGATGTACTCTCCATTACGAGCGCAGAAGCGAATTGAGTGATCAAACGGCTGGCCAGCATACTGGAGGACTGATGGGACGAAAAAAAAAAGATTTAGATAGAATATTTAAAACCTATTTTATTATTTTAAAAAATTATCCACCCCAATTTGTCCCAAAACAACTGACATATAGTTTTCTCTGATTAAGGTAGGAAAAAGTACCTTCCCACAAAAAAAGTTAAACACCACCTTCAATGAACTAAATAGACAAAACAGAATGAACAGCTTGACTCACTCTTCCTGTGGATGCCAAGCATGACTGGTCGATCGCTGGGATGCAGGTGCAGCAGGACAGGTGTGCCAATCAAATCCTGTGGCAGGTATCCTAGTAATGGAACAGCCCTACAGGAAAAACATCACATAACAATTCTGATTAGTCTGACAACGACTGTTTAATATGCATGATTATGAGAGATGGAAAAAAGCAGGTGTGGAGGTACAGCTGTTGCGTGAAACACCCAGTGCTTAAGTTACCAGCTAATCATAATCATGTTGGTCAACAGTGAAGTATTAGCCCTCTCACCTCTCGTCCACATCCTGAAACACACAGCTGGGAGTGTGTGTTGTTGTGAATATTCGTTTGTCTGTGGGGATCCTTGGAGCTGAGAAATAAACATAATAACGGTTTTGACAGAATATTTTACACGAAAAAGTACATTTCCGTATGTACAAGTGCTTAGGAAGCTACTTTAAAACTGTAACTTAAATCATTTTAGAACTGCATTTTAAATAATTTTAAGTAGTTAAAATACAAAAAGTTAAAAACTTTTTGAAAAGTATTTATCTATATGACAAGTTACAAACAAAACATAAGCGGCTATTTGGATAAAGCTGTACTTATTTGATTGTACACAACCATTAAAAACTTTTTTTGTTCGCTTGTTTTGAAAGAAACTAATACTCTTAATTCATTAAATTGATTAAAAGTAACAGAAAAGACATGTATGTTACAAAAGATTTCTATTTCAAATAAATGCGGTTCTGCATCACAGTTTCCACAAAAATAGGAATTAGTACAACTGTTGTCAACACTGTATAATAATAAGAAATGTTTCTTGATCAACAAATTTTCATATTAGAATGATTTCTGAAGGATCATGTGACACTGAGGACTGGAGTAATGATCAGCTTTGCATCATAGGAATCAATTTTAATATATATTCAAACAGAAAACAGTCATTTTACATTTTAATCACAATATTACTGCTTTTACTGTATTTTTGATCAAATAAATGCAGCCTTGGTGAGCTAAGTTTAAATGGTAGTGTATAAAATATTAACTTATTTAAATAACTGATTGGAAAACATATTTATTTTGCACCAAGAAAGATGCACTTCTTGAAACATTACTAAGTGACAACACAACATAATCAGTAAATACCTTATTTTTTTAATCGTCAAAAATGAATTGATTTGCTAAAATAATTTGTTTTTCCTGTTTTCCTCAATGCAACTATAATATTTAAAAAAACGACACCACTATCACTGGCAAAAATCCATTCAAAATGTAGAAGATTTTGTAAAAGAACTGACCTTCGTAGCCTGAGTGAACTCTCTCGGCCAGCAGGAGGCAGCAGAACTGATCTTCAGAGTGCTCCGTATCCTGAACCTTCATCAAATAAGGAGTCATTCTGAAGGGATAGTACTGAAGATCTCCCTCACACTCTTTACCACCGCTGGGGAACAGGACAGGAGAGATTTACACACACATTCAACAAAAATATCTGGTAATAAACATTGGCTCTGTCCAATGTAAGCAGCCTACTACAACCTAGTGAGATTTTCCATCCCTATCCATTCTAAAACAGTATGGTTTCTAAACAAATGCTTACGAAGGCACATTTCATGCCCACAAAACTAATTTCAAGCATTTAAATATAAACCTTTAGATGAAATGGTCTTTTAAGAAGCATAAATTCCGTTAACTTTGACATTCATTTTATAATGTGCAGATTATTTAGGATCTGGCCTGCACACACAAATTGCAAGTTTGATCACAAATGCACGCTCAGAAAACAAAACAAAACACAAAACAAAGTCTGCTGTTTGTTTAATTCAGATGTTTTATGTAGCATAGTTTCACAAAGCTAAAGCTTCTGTTCTTTTGCTTCAAATTTCAAAATTATACAGTCTAACTGAAAAAAAAAAAAACTGTTCATGTTGCATGTATGCTGCAGCTTTGTGTGGATTGTGATTAAAATGCAGTGGTTACCTCAAATTTTTAATGCAAAGAGCACAGGCAAAGCCTTCATTTTGAGACTTCAGAGAGATTTCTTTCATTTGTATTAATTATTTCATTTGGGATGGGTTTTAAAATTTCTAAATTAATACCCGATACCCTCCCAATTGGAATTAGAAAGTTACAGAAATCCTGTTCTACCACCCAAGTGTTCAGTCTGAGTTTTTATTAGCAACTGACTGTAATACGTTGCTCAACAGGTGTTTACTGAGTGCATGTTTTCCACAGTAATGTCAAATGTATTAGTAATCAAATTTTCCTATTTACAGGGAGAAAAGTTAACCAGAATGAATTTCCCCAGGCTGATTAAAAAAAAAAAAGGGAAAACTATGAATTAAATCATGGTGAACAGATGGTGTACAGGTTACTTCCAACCCTCCACACACACACACAAACACACACACACATACTTGTATTTGTGGTTTACGGGGACTCTCCATAGGCGTAATGGTTTTTATACTGTACAAACTGTATTTTCTATTGCCCTACACCAACCCTACCCCTAAACCTACCCCTTACAGGAAACTGCTGGCAATTTTTGAATTTCATAAAACACCATTTTCTAAGCCTTTTGTTTTACGGGGACACAGGAAGTGTCCTCATAAACCATGTAAATTTAAGGGGGTCTGAATACTTTCCGTACCCACTGTATACCTGTACACACAAACACACACACACTCACCTAACGCGACAGAAGAAGGATTTCTCTTGCATGCAGTCTGATGGTGACGACTCTTTAAGGAGGAAAAACAAGAGTGATGAGTTCAGGTTTATTTCAATAGCATCTTGTCTTTCAGAGGTGACTAAATCCACTGTCAACTCAAGCTAATACTGGTTGCTGCTTCATGGATTCAAGAACAACAAAGACGCCTCAATAATTAGCCCTGGTTTTGTTAATGAATAAGAAAGAGAAAAGACTTTCATATCTGTGGACATTTGTGCTTGTGTTCTGTCTATTGCAATTATATTTGAATACTTATTTCACCTTTTGACTAAAAGGTCCATAGCAAAATATGTGAAAGATTTTTAATGATTCTTGTATGTCTCTCTTTTAACTTATCTAGGCCTATAGATATTATGACTGATCGTGTGTGTGTGTATGTGTGTGTCGTACCTGCACCAGTGCACATGCTCCAGGACGGCAGTCTGTATGGTGTGGTGAAGCTATAAAACACGCTAACATCCTGCGGTGTAAGAAACTCCACAAACTTGGCATTCTTGAACACGTCCCGTTTGCAATTCAAAATGGAAGATGCCTGGTCTGAAATATAGACGATCTTCCCAGTGATAAGTGACACCGCCACTGCAAAGATATCCTGTAAAACAAAGATCCCAAGATCAATGATTATGCAATTATGCAAGTGTTTCTGAAAAATAACCTACTATAAATATTGTAACAGGTCTCAGCAAATAAACTGGAATAAATAAATGTACATTAATAAAATAAATAAATAGTAAAATAAATAAATAAATGAATTAAATAAAAAAGATTTAAAATAAGTAAATAAATAAAATGGCTAAATAAAAAAAACATATACTTACTGTGTTCTTGAGGGTGTATTCAGAGGTGATGCGGTCTATCTCCTCTATGGTATATGATGAAACGTCAAACCCTGATGGCTGACTATCATTATTCATAAGCAACTGGTAGTATTCTTCATTTGCTGAAATAAAAACATCAAAACAAACGCATTTTGCCAATTCAGTTAAGAAATCAGGTGTACATAGTACAGATTAAGTATGTGATATATGCCTAATAATAATAAAAAAAGAAAAACATGTACTGTATGAGCTCAGTTTCGACTGGTAACTTGTGTTGTATAGCCTCTTTGAAAACCAATCCTATATTAGATATATACTCATATTCCACTATAAATAAAGCAAAATATATATATTAAGTCCTTTACAATAATTGATTACCATTAATTGAGATGTGCATTGTAAAATCTAAAAATGGACAATCTAAAAATGTGCAGACATAAAATTGATCAGCTTATTAATCATGTGATGTGATGTTCACCAAGTAGTTCTATTTTTCTGAAATATTGCTTGCATTTGTTTCACGTTGCCAATGGAATTGTTTGGTCTTAAAGTTGTTTAAATATTTTATGCCCCTAGGCTTTATTTGCATTGCATGCAAGCAAAATTAAACTCAAAATATATTGACAATTTACCAGACAGCAGGACTATGCCCCTGTGATCAGGCAAGTGTTAGGCATGACTTATGTAACGATATACTGAACTTCGTAATGTACTGCTCACCTTCCACCTGTCTGACGCAGCGCAGGGCATATTTCAGAGTGTTGAGCGTCGTCGACTTGCTGCCCTTGTTTCGCTTTTCCGACGGCAAATGAAGCTTCAGCTCTTTCAAAGTTTTAATCAACTCTTTCTGCGTCTTTGCCTTGGCGGATTCTTCGCTACTGCAGGTGCCCAAAAAACACATGCACAAATATGTCAGCAATAAAACCCATTCTAAACACATTGTTCTTTTCTGTGCAATGCACAGTACGCATCAAGTTTGACTAAAATTGAGTAAGTTATTTTGTAAATATTTTGAAAATAAGTATTTGTACCAAATATAATGTGTGGCTAAAAAATGATTTTTGATGGGTCCAGGATGACATAATATAAAGCTTCATAAAATATATTCAAATATATAAATATAAAAAAAAAAAAATAAAACTAAATAATATAAAAATAATAGAATATTATAATACATTTATAGTATAATGTAATATAAAAATTAAATAAAAGATAAATAAAATATTTATACCTGCAGCCGCTGGTAGATGGGTTGTCCTGCTCTGAACTGGCACTCAAAAGGCTGAAGGCATTCATGCTGCTGGGTGGCGAAGGACTATGAGAGTTGCAGCTGTAAAAAGAGTGAACACACATGAAGAGATCATAAAACAAGCCATAAACTACAGACAATCCTTTATGAACAATAATCTCTGCAGATGTCATTTTATCAGGCATGTCTACCTACCCTTTATTGCTTTACTTTTGTGATTAAATGAAGTAAAGTGAATAAAGTGGCCCAAGCCAACGGAGAATCAAACAGAATATATCTGCATTAATCTCAAATTGTTTGACATCAGGTTTGCCTCGGAAACACAGCGTATCCACGCAACGAACATGACGACATTATCGACAAATGATTCATTCAGTGTACCAGCTGAAGCCAGTCAGGACAGGTTGTTGCAAGGGAATAAAGCCACAGGAAAATCAAGCAGTAGCTTCAGCTCAAAACCTCATTCTCACAGGAAATTTTCAATTATTGTGGACAATCGAACAGAAAATAGGTGCTCCTGTTCCACATGGAGGTCACTTGGACGTTGCCCTCCATCTCAGTTATATAATCTTTACCTGTCCACCATCCTTACTTTCCCTCAAAAACCCCATGCCATGTGCCATTCCCAGCCAGGCCACCATTAGCACAGCTAAGAATGGCTTGCATTGCAGGCTTCTAGTACAGTAGATAACTGAGACAGACCAAAGTGGATTGATTAAACCGCTCAACTTAGCGCGCTGATAATATAACAAGTCCAAAGTCCAGCTACAGGTGACATGTGAGGGACATAAATACACCAGGAGTGATTCTAAATAGCCCACTAAGTAGCTTTGAATAGAAACAGGCTTTACATGTTGCACTTCTTAGCTGTAGGTGAGCTAATTATATAAAGCATATCTGTGTTAGTTTTGCAGGGCAATGTGTCTCGATGCTATTGATACAGTCAGTCATTTCAGGAGGCTAATGAGATTGGAGAATTTGGAAGATTATTTATACAACTACACATGCAGAGAAGTGTGGCCTTACAACATGCTGCCTTCAAGACTTCAACACACTTGAACAGGTGTACTAGTACAGGAATGTAAGAATATCACGTAATCGATCATTATGGGTTTTTAAAAGGCTGATGACAATGGAGAACATGATGGCCAATACATCCCAATAAATGGCAATATTTTCTGTATCACGCATTGTGACTTCATATCAATTTGTATTCTTCTTTTAAATGTTTTCACATAATTCTGTTTTATTTTTACACAGGCTTCAATACAATACTTATTTAGGTTAGTTTGGGTTGCGTTTTCTTTTACCTAGCATAGTTTTGTTCATGATTTTTTAAAGATGATGTTTGACAAAATTAACATTTATTCTAAATTATAGATAAACTTCATTCAAAACTACGAAAACAGTAAATGTAGTCAAAGAAAATCTTTTGTTTATCGGTCAATAATCTATAATCTCAAAATGGCCAAATATTGGCCATTTAAATGGCTTAGCCAATATATATTTTAAAACGGATATATACACAAATAGAGGAAAAGATGGATGGACAGACAGACAGACAGACAGACGGACTGTAATAATTTACTCAATAAAATTATTTGAGATCTAAGCAACAAAATTGTCTCTCTCTTCTAAACTTGATTTCTTTGCTTTCGATTAATGCAATTCTCTAAAATATTCAATTTACTAGATTCAATTATTTAGGGTGAATGTGAACCAGTCAAGTGTTTGAAAATGATTTTTGCTAAACCTATAGTTGCAAGCATGCTTCACTTGGGATTAAATGAGGAGGGTAAAAATGAAATTAAGTGTTATTTTAGGTGTTTTTGAGCAAGGGGGAAACTTGATAGTCTAATGTTTAAAGTGCAAATATGTTGGAGTTATTGGAACCATTTAAATTACACTGGGTTACCATTGTGAAGAAGACTGGAGAATCTGCATAGGCCGTAGACTGGTACGCATGTTATTACTGCTTAGATCAAGGAGCATTTATTGCTTAGCATTTAACATACTAATATGTGCTATTGTTAACTAATTGCTTGTTAGCTACCTAGTGTAACCTCATAATTCAATCATGTGACAAAATATATGAATCTCAATAAATTAATTCTGTCATGGTGGAACCATAGAAAATCACTTTGAGAGTTAATTAGGTCAGACTTGATTTCATGGGGCTGAAATTCTGTAAACAATGTGTGTATATTAATTGATTCATGTGGCACCAATGTACATAATTGAATCATATTAAGTCAAATACACATTTTTTCTGGATGGATGGATGGATGGATGGACGGACGGATAGACCAGATCCTTTTAGCTTCACCCAAGCACTGGTTGCCACAAGAAAGGCATGAATCACTGAGCGATTAGTGTAGGGAACATATCTAATGACGCAAAGACGCTCCTAGACTGGTTCAGATCCCACTCAAAGGGAAAGAATATGAGAATGTGACCGGGAGGCACTGTGCTCCAGCACTGTGTTCTGAGTCTAACAATTTAAATTCGAGAACAATCAATATATTCTTCTTTTTTATAAAGTCAAAGACTGACTGCTAGCTAAATAAGAGAAAGAAAGACTGAGGGAAGGAAGAAACATTCAACTTTTCCAGAGCTCTCATTGGAGCGCACCCATCCTGTACACAAGAACAAACAGTACGTTGTCAATGGAAACCATGGTGCAAATGTCTGGGAAATACTTACACTGACGCACTGATGGAGCTGGGCACTACAGCTGTCCAGACTTTCCACTCAATTTCCTTTTCAGAATGGATATTACTATACTAGATGTCTGGAAAACCATGCTAATAATTTGCCAACACTTGAAAGGAAAAATGCTTTGAAAGATGTTCAGATGATTAGATCCATAAACAGACTTGAATGCCAGCTTTGGTAGTGCCAGACTTATAGAGTTTCTATAACTTTTATAGAATTAAAAGATAAAGAACAAAATTAAAGATAATTTTGTGTTTCACAGCACAACATCAGTAGCTAAATAGTTGCTCAATGCAAAATAAACTCCCTTAAATATTAGTTTTGAAATGCAGTCAGTTGCCAATACCGCTGTTGTACTTTCCGCTGCATTTAACACACTTATTATGTTTAAATGCATGCATCTCTGAAAATAAGTGCAGCAAGTCTGTAGATCCGGTTTAGGTCTTGCAACTGAAGAACACACAAAGAATTCATCAAATGTCACTGCATGTCTTTGTCGCAGAATAGTTTCCAGTTGCCTTACAATAACCTCAAAAATAAATGAGGTGAGAACAGAGGCTAGAAATGACGTCAGAGTTACTTAGGAGACAGAAAAACACGCTGATGTTGATTAAAAGGCATTCAAATGCTGTGGTTTACCATATGCTGACAACACAAAACTCCTCCAGAGCACTTCAATGGTTAAACAAATCCCACGAGTGTCTGCATGCAACCTCTTGGCATAGGGTTGCTACATGACTAAATCAATACTGCCAAACAAACAAACTGTCTCCACAGAGATTAATCTAGAAAAAGTGCAATCCAAATTATGCTTGTCACGTGCAACAAATAAATATTTAACAGTGTTATACATTGTTAAAAGTACAAATATTGCATGTTGTCTGTCAATTAGTTTGAAGTCATTATATAGTAGCTGCATGCAAATCATTAAAAAATAATGAACATAATGCTATATATAGTTAGGAATAGTAGTTAGCAATAGTAGGCATGTCAAAAAGCAAGACATGCTAACTTTGCAAAAGATATTTTATCTATCCACCATCAGTTCCAAAAAAACAAATGCAGTAGTCCTGAGAGGTCAAATGGTGTAGCAGAGTATCTTTTTGATATTATTTAAAATCTTCTTTAAACACATTGTTCTGTTACATATCCTTACAACATTTTAGCCAAATATTAATTATGTTAACTAGACGTGCTCACGACCTGTCTAGAGATGTGTTTATGCTGAAATATACTATTATACTAAATTGTTTGCATTTATGGAGTTGGTTTGTCCGTTTTGTGCTTCACGTTTTGTGCATTGTGGGATTTTTCAGGAAGCGAAAGTTCCAGTGCACTGGAAAGACTTCACAATTGACACAGCCTTTAAAATGACCGACTTCCTGATCAGTGCCATGATTAATAAGCTAATTAAGATGCACCCAGAGCCTTTGAGGCACCCAGAAATAAATAATATAATAATATAAATGTATTATTAACAACAAAACTTGTGTGTGTGCCACTTTGTGGTTGTCAAATGTTAGCAGAACCTGTCTACAGCTAATGCGATAAACTACCCACTAAAATTATAATCTGTCTAGTGTCTACATACTTATTGGGGCCACTGCAAGTCACAGACAAACAGACTATAACTAAATTACCTTTTGTTACTTCCCGATGACTCTATTAGTGCCGAGTCCTTGCTTCGGCTATTGGAACTCCCAGAAGACTCGTTGCCATGAGACTCATTTTCGTGGGAATCATTACCATGGGACTCAGTTCCACTCCCACTGGACCCGCTGCTCTTCATCTCCACATCCTCATGGAGGGAATGTGCCATCTTCCGGCTGTTGTGGGGTGAAGCAGGAGGGTCTTGGCTGCTGTCGCTACCTTCAGATACCAGGCCAAGTTCGGCCCCCTTCACGAAACTACTCATACGATGCAGCGTCGCCATTGAACTGCATCCGGCTGCTTCATTCTGCCCCTCCAGGGAGGAGAGCAGGTACGGTTTGGATCCTGAGTCCTCAGACATTGGAAATGGTTTGAAGAAGTGTTGCAAGGAGCCAGATCACTCTATCTTCATGGTGGGGCACACAGAGGGAATGTAGACGACACTTGGATTTCTACGGGAATAAACAGACAGAAAATGAGTCAATCGTCTGAAATTTTCCATCTCAAAAATCAGAAGCCCTTGTCTTTCGACAAGTGGAAGGTACACTTACGTACGACAGACAGGTACGTCAAAAGAAACCAGGGCAAGATGGGACAAAGCTAATCTGGATGCGATCACTGCACAGGAGATAAAATCACCTCTTCAGTTGCATGCTCTTCTTCTAACTTCGCTCTCCATTAAAAGTAGAACATCGAAAGTTGAAAAAGTCAAACTCACATCAAAGTGATGCATGCACAGCCCTGTCTGATCCACTACTGATCCACAATCTATAGACAGGCCAGCCTCTGTCTGGTCCCAGAGAGCCTAAACTGAGTGTTCAAAGGTGGGCATCTCTGGCATCCCCTCGTTGTGTCTGTACAGTGTCCTTTAGCCGAACAGATGTGGCATTTCGGCTTGTAAACACTGCCTCCTTCAAAGCACTAATCCCAGCAAGTGCACATAAAAGATGCTAGACAGCTGTCTGGACCAACAACAGGCCCTGACTGGTTTTCATCCCTTCATGTTGCCATTAAAATGGCAGGGGGAAAAAATAAACTCTTATCCCTTTGCTCTGAAGAAATAAATAGTCATCTGACTAGAGCCAAGTTTCCTGGTCAGGAACTGAGATGGGCCATATTAAGGAAGGACACCTGATTCGTGACTTACCACTCTTTTACCCAACAGGATTGAATAAGATTGACAGAGAGTTGAGTACGTTAATGGATTACCTGTCTGACCAAGACCTGTCTAGATTTACCATGCATGGCTTGTATATTGTGTTATTACATACATACGGTACTGCTAGAACACCGGTGTGAACTTGCATCAAATTAATTAACTAAAAATGAAATTGCATCATTAATTCAGAAAACAAAATATGTGGTCAGTTGATTAAAACTCTTTGGAAAATGGCTCAGAAAAAAAAAGAATTTGTTTCTGAAAAGGAATAGCATGTTTTTCTTTGCAAATTCCACTTTTATATTTTGTGATTTATGCAATGAAATTTATACAATTCTTAAAACTTGCATATCCAAAAACATTTGGGGGGAAAAAACACAAAATAAACAATTAATAGAATAAAATTATAATAGCTATGTTTTTTTTAACAAGTCTCTTCTGCTCACCAATGCTGCATTTATTTGATTGATCAAAAATTCAGACAAAAACAGTAATATTGTGAAATATTACTAGCCTACAATTTAAAATAATGTTTTTCTATTTTAATATACTTTAAAATATAATTTATTTCTGTGATGCAGAGATGGATTTTCTTCAGCCATTGCTGCAGTCTTCAGTGTCACATGATTCTTCACAAATCATTATAATATGCTGATTTATTATACTGTTTGAAACCATTGTGCTGCTTTTTTTTTTTTTTTGGAACCTGTGATATTTTTCAGGATTCTTCGATGAATAAAGAGTTAAAAAGACAGGCATTTATTCAAAATAGAAATCTCTTATAACAATAAATTACACTAATGTCCAAAATTTGGGGTCAGTACAAAAATATAAAACAGCACAACTGTTTCCAACATTGATAATAAATCAGCATATTAGAATAATTTCTGAAGGATCATGTGTGTCACATAAAAATATAATTTATTCCTGTGCTGGCAAATTTTGTACTGGTCTTCAGACACTGAAGACCAGCACAAAATTTGCCAGCACAGGAATAAATTATATTTTTAAATGTATTAAAATAGAAAACAGTACTTTTTAAATTGTACAAATATTTCACAATATTACTGTTTTTACTGTATTTTTGATCAAAGAAATGTAGCTTTGGTTAGCTTAAGAGACTTCTTATAACAACATTTGTTACATTATAACAAGTTTTGTTCTAAACGAAACCTAGCCCACATTATGAGATTGTGCCTCAAGTTTCCTGTACTCCAGACTTTTCCTTGGCCACATGCTCCTTTGAGAAGGACTTGTGTGGGTGGATCCAGGGAGCTGCAGAGGACCTAGACTGGGAGAGATAGAGCGGAACTACTGAGACCCCAAATCCAGGTCCTCCGGGTGACCACACCAGTGGAAATGGTGAGCCAACAACCATTTGCACCATATCACTATCAGCACAATCATCACATGTCTTAATTGTGTGTTTCTTGCTATATTACAGGGTATTATTTGTCTAAACTCTTATCCCTTTGCTCTGAAGAAATAAATAGTCATCTGACTAGAGCCAAGTTTCCTGGTCAGGAACTGAGATGGGCCATATTAAGGAAGGACACCTGATTCGTGACTTACCACTCTTTTACCCAACAGGATTGAATAAGATTGACAGAGAGTTGAGTACGTTAATGGATTACCTGTCTGACCAAGACCTGTCTAGATTTACCATGCATGGCTTGTATATTGTGTTATTACATACATACGGTACTGCTAGAACACCGGTGTGAACTTGCATCAAATTAATTAACTAAAAATGAAATTGCATCATTAATTCAGAAAACAAAATATGTGGTCAGTTGATTAAAACTCTTTGGAAAATGGCTCAGAAAAAAAAAGAATTTGTTTCTGAAAAGGAATAGCATGTTTTTCTTTGCAAATTCCACTTTTATATTTTGTGATTTATGCAATGAAATTTATACAATTCTTAAAACTTGCATATCCAAAAACATTTGGGGGGAAAAAACACAAAATAAACAATTAATAGAATAAAATTATAATAGCTATGTTTTTTTTAACAAGTCTCTTCTGCTCACCAATGCTGCATTTATTTGATTGATCAAAAATTCAGACAAAAACAGTAATATTGTGAAATATTACTAGCCTACAATTTAAAATAATGTTTTTCTATTTTAATATACTTTAAAATATAATTTATTTCTGTGATGCAGAGATGGATTTTCTTCAGCCATTGCTGCAGTCTTCAGTGTCACATGATTCTTCACAAATCATTATAATATGCTGATTTATTATACTGTTTGAAACCATTGTGCTGCTTTTTTTTTTTTTTTGGAACCTGTGATATTTTTCAGGATTCTTCGTTGATGCATACAAAGTTTAAAAGAACAGCATTTATTCAAAATGATGCTGAAAATTCAGCTTTGCATCACAGGAATAAATTGCATTTTAAAATATATTCAAATAT